CCTCCGCCGCAGTATCACGATGGACCACCAGAGACTGTGATATACTCATCAGCTCCACCAGATCATCATCATCACGGGAATCATCCTCCCTATCCGATGACTCACAGTCCTCCACGTCATCATCCACAACAGATGTACGGACAGCCTCCTCCTACGTATTATCATCATCACACGGCGATGCCTCAAACGGCGCCGTCTTATACGGTGAGCTACAACACGGCACATGGGCCAGGTAACAACGGCGGGAATGAAACGGCGTCGTATTACGCGGCTCCTCCTCGTCATCCGACGTCGTATTATTCGTATGAGTACGTGGACAATGGATACGAATCTCCACCGCCCGAATTTTATTCCTATAGATCTCAGCCGTCCGAATCGTTTGAAGCACTCAGCGAAGGCAATCCAAACGCTTGTTACGTTATGTGATTGGTTTTATGTTTTTTTTTAGATCAAATTGATATCATTGGGCTTCGAATATGGCATCTTGTAATGTCGAACGAGGTGTTATTAGAGGGGTGATTTCGTAAACAATACTAGTAATATATATATACCTTGAATAAGATATTTGGCACGATTGAAATTTCACATAAAAGACATCTTGTAAATGAAATGTGAAAATGCTTTGCTAAAAACTAAAAAGACAAGAGCATCTATGCGGTAGGTTTCGATTGGTTTTCTTTAGAGGAAAGTCCCATACCAAAAACTTAATAAAAATGAAATCAATAACAAAAATTTCACTACGCAATTTTAAAAAAAAAAAAATTAAAAACGACATTATTTGTTAGAATTATTCCTGTAGACGTTATTGATTCCTACCACTACAAGAAAACAGGCAAATTTCCGACGGCCAAGATTTCCGTCGGAATTTTCCGACGGCTTACCGACGCATTTGCGACTAACATTTAGTCTGTCAGAAATCCGTCGCAAAATTCYGACGRAATACCGACGGTTTTATCTACCGTCGGTATTCCGTCGGAAATCCGTCGGTACAAACGATGGATTTCCGACGGAAAATAATCTGTCGTAATATTCTGACGACTTTCCGACGGACTCCCGACGGAAATCCGATTTTTTCGATGTCGGCAAATTTGAGTGGTTACCATTTC